ACTTGCTAGACCAGATGTCCTAGTCTGTTGGCTAACTTCTTATCGGCTTTGCTGACAGCCATGTCCATTAGGGAAAATTCCTCATTTGGAATGAAGTTCTGGCACAGGCTCACTTTACCATATCCCAATAACTTCTGGATACGGAGCACTCACCAGTTTTGAGTGTGATACACAGTACCTTTTGTTTTAGCAATAATGGGCAGTATGTTTCAACTACAATAGCTCTTCCTGATATCAGAATATGCAACACACTTTTAAAGTATTCTCCACATACATGTCAAGGGTGGCCCTGACATCCACTCCCACCAGCTGGGGAACTGGAAAGACCCACAAAATCCCTGGGACTCATTGTTCAGGTGAGGTGCCCCTCCCCCCCAACACTTACACAGGCATCCAGGCAGCCCCCCCAAAACACACAAACACATGCACACACCCCTCTGTAGGCATCCAGCTCTACTGGAGGAATCAGAGCCTGGAGTACTGGCGGGGCGGGGGGGTGGCTACATCAAGGCTCACCTTCAAATTTAACCCATTCTGCCAGAACATTTCCTGCTATGGTTCTCTCTTATATGGAGTAATGGAAGCTCCTCTTCTCCTGCTTCCCCACCACTCAATTGTAATCCATTCCAAATGCTACAGCTAAACTGATCTTCCTTCCCCAGTATACTGACTACACCATCACCCCCCTACTCTAATCGCTTAAATCACTTCCTGTCTAGCTACACCTCAAGGCTATGTACAGCTCCACCCCTGCCCACATCTCAACCCTTCTATGCACACACCCGCTTTGTGACCTGTGCTTTGCAAATTCCTCTTACCCTAGTAAACCTCTGGTCTCTCCCATGGCTCTTCACACTACCCCTTACACCTGAAACAACCTTCACCCTCCTGCACACCAGATCATCTCCCTCCCCTTCAGATCCTTCCTTACAACTGCTGGTTTGGCTAGCTTTTTACTGCCAACCTCTTCCTTCTCCAGTGCCTGGAATACTCTTACATGTTAACTGACCACATAAATACATACAAATAAAACAAGCAAAATGGGGACAAGCTACTGTAAGTATGTAGCAACAGGTGTCTGTTCTGTAGAATCCTCTCTCCACCTCATTTGCCTTTTCTTTCAGTGCTAGCTCTAAAGTACTAGTCACACCTACGGTTCTGTAGAAATATGTAGATACTCCCTCTGAAAGATGGATCGATAGAAACAATTTAAGTCTCTTTTGTATTAGCCATAATTGGTATTGTCGGTTCAAACATTTTAGGCTCTGGATCATTTTTTCTTCAATCAAATCTTGGAGGAGCAAGGGTCATCTTTGTCTAGTATAACCACCATCAAAAAACCACAGCTCCTGAGTAGAACTGGGACATCACTACACAAAATCATGCATTACCTCCTTCCTCCTGCTGTTGGACAAGTGGTATCTCCTAACACTGTGTGGTGTTATATGACCAAGAGTATGCATCATATGGTCCCACCAATGCCCACCTACTTAGCATCTATACAAGCCAGTTGTAGGGAAAACTAGACTGATAGTCAGATTGGGGAAGATAATGAATAGTGGATTCTCTTGATGCACAAATCTCTTCACAGTTTCATTATTCTCTCAAGCTAATGGACACAGAAAGGACGTTGGGAAGTCATTAAGTCCAGCCCCCTGCACTGCCACAGGACCAGGCATATCTAGACCATCCATGACAGGTGTTTGTCTACCTGTTCGTAAAAACCTCCAGTGATGGGGATTCCACATCTTC